CGATCCCGATCCCGACTTCAACGCAGTAATAGAAAAGAAGACTAAAATTTGTCTGTCATCCTTGACCTTATCCCTGCTTCCATTTCGATTTTCATCTCCCATCTTTCCAGATCCCTTTTTCTCATTCTGTATATCCTTTTTGGATTTGGATTTAGAAGAATGAGATACCCGTACTGGTACCGGTGCCAATTCATCATCTGCCTCACTTCCATTCTCGTTTCCATTCCGATTCGTAGGATGAGAAGGCGAATGATCATCATCATCATCATCATCATCATCATCATCATCATCATCATCATCATCATCATCAGGCCAAGAAATCGAACCATCTGAAAGAATCGAGCTCGTGTCGGAATTATGCGCTTCTTCCGTTTCCGTTTCCTCGCTTTGCTTTCCTTCGATTTTCATCTCTGTCTTCCGAGTCTCCTCTCCGTTCACAAGAATCTTCTTCTCCACACCTTTCTCCCCTCCTTCCAAACTTTTCTTCTCCTTCTCCTCCTCCCCTTTCTTCCCTCCCTCCTCCAAACTTCCATCCTCTGTGTACCCCCACATAACCCCCAATTCCCCCCTCATGACCGCCGTTCCCCATAATGCTCCTAATACCCCCGGAACCAGATATAGTAATGCCGGTTGTGCATGTCTGAACACGTTGAGCACTACCAATGTCGTGATCATACCAATGATATAACCAACCAACGCAGCTTTAAAATATGGTTTTGGGAAACGCGTTCCTTCGGTTCCTGTTTCGATGGTCTTTGAAGAAGAAGAAAAGCTTGAGGTCCAGAAACGTTCACCCCAAAGACCGGTTGCGGGTTTATAGGGTAGTTTTTGCGGGGCTGTGGATATATCCTTGGAAATGGAGAGACTTTTGGCATTTTCGTTTGAAGTTGACGTCGATGACTCGTTGGAATGAGATTTTTGTGCATACAAATAATGTAAATACAAATCAAATCTCAGAGCCAATGCAACCAATATTCCTGGTAAGACAATATCACCCAATCCCAACATACTACCTCTTCCGCCATCACTGCCCGGAAATACCAATTTGATGGGGACGTCTAGGGTTGTGGCGACTGTAACCATGAGAGGTGTATAAAACACCATTGTGATATCGTAGATGAAAAGTCCGAGGAGGACTAAGGTACCAGTGAAAAAAGTCGTGGGGGACATGAGTTGAAGAGTTCCATAGCAAAAACCGAAACCCATAAGATTCGTCAGATACCATGGAGCATTTAAGATGTTATAAGCGGTGATTGTGGCGATACCTATTCCTAGACCCAAAACTGATGTAAATTTAACCAGCGACTGGTGATGAGGAAACAAAGTCTCGATGTGAAAATTAAGCGTATAAGTTGTTTTGAGCAGTCCACGCACATCCCAGATCACATCCGTCATCCTTTTTGGAAACCCAATCTTCGAAAGACGTCCTGGAAAAGGACTCGTAACTCCTTCCACATTCTCCATTTCCCCATTTGCATCTTTCAGAACTTGACATCTCATATCCTGATCAATATGAAAAACACTCTCTTCCCTCGCCCACACACTAGGAAACACAAACCCAACCCCCACATCCAACGCATCCCTCGCCAATCTCCCGACTCCAAAAATACCCAAGCCGGAAAAGTACCACCCTAATATCTTATTAAGAATAGCAGGATCATCCAACCATTTGATGATGAAATAGAGGGTTCCCAATGCCACGCTAGCTAGAACGGGAAACATGATGGCGTCAGATGGTGCGAGTCCTTCCATTGGAGATCGGGTTTCTTCTTCATCTTCTGTATCTGCATCTTTAAGATGGTGGGAAGAGGAAGAAGATGGGGATTTGCGAATGGGGGAAGCGGAGGGAGGTCGTGAAAGTGATGCATGTGATCCTATGTAGATGGGGAAGAGAGCGGCGAGGATTATGTGGATTTCCATTTTGATCATTTCTCGTTCGGTATAGATCTTATGGCCATATTTGACCATCAATTCTTTGAGATTGTCCATTTTGAGTGATTGGGGTGTTGAATCTCTCTGACTGACAGTTTGGAAACTGAGTACCGGTAGATGGCGTTTGTTGGAGAGAGTATTTCCACCGTTTAAAACCAATTTGAAACTAGTTCATCGTTGTAGAGATCTGTTCTTTTCCAACCCACTAGTGATCTTTCACTCTCAGAATCAAATGTTTGATTTCAAGTGAATGTTTTGTTTGCTTCCTAAGAACCAAGGAAGGATTAAGTAGGTAGCCTGGTACAGTAGTTGTCCTTCCAAAAATAAAGAGCAGGGATCTGACGAGGTGTGCAAATGACGAGGCGACAAACTTTCTTTTCTTTCAGCCTTGCATAAAAGTAAACATTAAATCGAAGCCTTCTCAAAACTTTATATATTGATTGAATCTGCAATATTGAAATTGGTAACTGAATATATTATATTATTTCAATTAGATAAATTCATACACATACAAGATGGCCGTAAATATCGCCCTAGAAACAACCATGGTATGGTACCTCCACCCCTCTATCCCCCTCACTCCCCCTCTCCCCTCACTCCTCTCCGCTCCCCTCCCCATCCATCCTCACCCATCCTCACCCATCCATCCATCCACCCACTAACTCCCCTTCCCCCTTCCCCCAGGGAACCCTAACCCTCGAGCTCTACCCGTCGCACGCCCCCAAAACCTGCACCAACTTCACTACACTCATCCGCCGCGGCTACTACGACTCCATAATCTTCCACCGCATCATCCCCAATTTCATGCTGCAGACTGGTGATCCTACTGGGACTGGACGCGGCGGCTCATCGATTTACGGCGAGAAATTCGAGGATGAATTGGTTGTTCCTGCTGGATCGGGTTTGCCGGCGCTGAAACATACGGGCGCGGGTATACTTTCTAGTGCGTTGAATTTTACTTTCTTTTTCCCTTCTCTTTCCCTTCTCTTTCCCTTCTCTTTCCCTTCTCCTAATCATCTTATCTCCCCCCCC